GGATTCCGAATCAATCGGTTAAGATCGAAAACGTTTTTGTTTTATAACTGAAACAAGCTTAAATCCCTCATTTCGTAAACTTTATAAAAATCGTTAAGCCCAATTCATAGAAACAATTTTAAGAATGGGCGTATTTTGAAATATATTGACTCAATTCTGACAGAGACATTAAAGACAATTTCCATTTCTCGGTAATACTATGGCCGTGACATGAGATGGGTATCGTATAGGTAACTGGATTATACATTAATTAGTTAGGATACATTATAACCCAATTCCAACCTTCTGAGATGCCTGAGACTTCCCGAAAGCTACAACAGAATATTGATTGCATCAACAGATGGGCAGAAATAAATGAATTAAAAGTGAATGCAGATAAAACTAAGGCTATTCTCATCGGATCCAGACAACTCATTAGTCCCCTTTCTTACTTTCCTCTACTTAACCTCAATGCCCTGCAGTCAAAAACCTAGGAGTAACCTTTGACCAGAACTTCTCCTGGAATAACCATATCTCCCAGATTACCCAAAAATCAGTAACTGTCCATAAACAACTCCTAAGATTCCGTGATTGTATTCCTCTAAAAATCAGACAACTCCCTGTAATCTCTCATACATTCCTCCACTTCGACTATGGCTGTTTGGTGTATGGAGGGCAATTTTCCAGGCTAGAATTGACACTGAAGAAACTCATGAACTGTTTCATAAGGTACATCTTCGGGATCCCCAGGCGTTCACATGTTTCATTCTGGTACACCGAGTTGAAATGGCTTTTTCCTACTTCCCGACGACAATTCCTCCTTGGTGTTTTCCTTTTCCAAGTCCTCAGAACCAATAACCCTTCCTACTGGAACTCCTTACTCTACGTTCCTATATACACTCTCTTAAAACGAGGTCTTAACCTATAGATTTATGTATCCCCTCCCATAAAATTACTTTCTTCAGCAAATCCTTTGTCATTCGTGCTACATTCTTTTGGAACTCTTTTCCAACCTCTATACGTCAATCCCCGTCCACAAATTCCTTCAAACAACTCCTGTTCCACCACCTACTCCACATTCAAACATCTGAAAACATGTCAAATTGTTTAAATCTGTATACTGTTTAATTTCAATCTACTGCACAATTGAAATAACAATCAACAGTTAATTAGTTTGTATTTTTTATTATTCTAAGCCAGACTAAGACCCATAAATTTGTAAGTCTGTTATTATTCTTAGGGGTCTGTAGTTCCAAAATAAAATTATTGTTTCATTTCATTCATTCATTCATTTTCATTTCATTTCAAATCTAGATATTATAATTAATTACGTCATTTTATTATTAGTTTGTATATTAATTATGGTTAGTTAAATGCTGATCTCAAATTCAGCCAGACACTCAAATAAACTCAAGAGTTCTCACGAAGTCTATAAAACAAACAGAAAATCATTTTTTCTAACTGCACTATCGTTACTATTAGTAAAAGTATAATCATAGACATTTGAGATTGTTTTTCGTTGACTTTCATAGCTTCTGCTGAGGTTTTATTAGATCTTTTTAACAATTTTAAACGCTTTCTAATTACTCGACTGTTTCGATGAAGTCATAAAGAAAACAACGGAAGTCAAGTTGCGTAATATGGATTTCCAGAACGGCAGATGTAAGAGCAAGGGTAACAGTTAAACATTAATAAGATTGCTATGAAGTAACGCTTTTACAAAAGTGGTTTAATTTTATATTTATAGTAAGTTCGAACTATACTTTTTTTTTATTTTTTAGTTATTAAAACGTCAAGTGCTTTGAAGAAAAAAAAATCACTTCTCTAAAAATAATAAATAAATTATATAAAACAGAGAGAAAGGAATAGTTTTTAACTATTGAGATAATTTTAGGTAATGAGTAATTATAGTAAGAATATTTCCAGTACGTTATCACACGCCTATTCCAGGAACGGGCATTTCATACATTTCATTTGTTATAGAAGTAGGCTCAGGAAATGAGATCATTTCGAAGAAATAGAAAAAAAAGTCTAAAAATGACAAAATGTAATTCAAACAATTGTTTCAATTATTTAATGGTCAATAAATGATAAATGTAAGACTTTTTTTTGTTTACTCATATTTTTAGCTTATGTAAATTTAAATATACTTTCTGTAAGAGTTTTACAGAGTTCTACTAAGTTTGTTATAGTTATTATTCCATTAATAACTATTTAGTTAACTATACTATTAATAGTTATTATCAAAAAGTGAAAAAGCAGCGAAACTAAGAACAAGAAGAAGTAAGGAATACGTTATTCAATAATAAAAATCATAATATTCTGTGATTAAAAATTCACTTCAAAAACTGCCTCGTTTGTTATTTAACCACTGATCTATTTTTAATTTGTATCTAACCACAAATTGAGATAATTTTTTTGTCAATTCCTTGTTGTGTAGTAAATGACGAAGCTTTACAAAAATGAAATAAAATTTAAATTTTCAAATTTAGAGTAATTTAATTAGAATTTAAACTACCAGTTTCTCAATAAGTGTTTTCATGTTATTATTTTCTGTTATCACATTTACTGAACGTATTTTTATTCTAGATACAGTTGCAAATATCATGAATAAAAAAATTATTCAATGACATAAAAAAAAAACATTACAATTTCCCTCAGTACTTCTACATATTTTTCTATGAAGACTTGGGTAATTTTTCACTTTTCTTACGATTTTTTTTTAATATTCAAACCAATGAAGGCACTGGAGTTTTTATCCATTTTATATGTAGTTCCATGTAATGTTTTAAAACATTGATAGATAGGAATATCTTCAAATTCAATTTGTAATCTTTACTGTTAAATAGGATTGTAGTTGAACTAGGAGATTCATAAGAAAAAAAAGCTTAATTTTAAATGTTAGTCGAACATAATTCTTTTCTAGAGCAATGAAGCTGACTGTACATCAATGTATAATGTTGTTATAATCCTGGGCCCTCTCACCGGCAACTTGTTGTCCCTCCGAAAGTTTATGGATGGGGGCAGAATTTCAATGGCTATTCAGTTTCCACTTTAAAAAAAAAACTCACAAAAGAGTTAATAAACCATACAAGTAATAATTATTATGTTACAGATTATAAACTGATCACTCTGCAACATAATGTCCTTCTAACAATATTTTCCAAGTGCCGGCCCTAATTATTACAATATCGTTTCCGTCCATGTAAAAAATAAGTAATAATTTGTATTTTGAAAATCTTAAACAAAGAGAAAACTAGCTATGTTTTAGTTTATCATACAGTGTTAAGTGCGGATGCGTGTCCCTATGGATGATTGCATAAATGATTGGGTCTTGAAACCTAAAAATGGAAATCCTTTAGCGACAGCGCTTTAGGTTTTATTGATATCCATGAATATGACTAAGTGGGTAAAATTTTGATAACATTCATTAATATAACTTATAATTTTTATTATTTCTTTATATTTATAAAGAGTATTTTTGGATGATATGATGTGTTTTTTATAATAATGGTGAATAATAAGATAAGATATTAGTTATATAATTATTTAATTAATTAATTTATACTTCTAACTGTTTAAAGTTTTCTTTTTATCAAATTAATATATACAATATATTTATGAGTTGCTGTTTCATTTTAATGTTATTGCAAATCTAATTATTTTATTCCCAGATTATTTTTTTCTAAAATTAATAACGATAACTTTAAAATTAAAAAACCAACTTGATGACTTTCAGCTAACTTTTCTTCAACTTTGCAAATGAGGAGCCGCTATCGTATAATTTTTTAACAGATTAAAATTAATATAAATACGATATTTACGATTTTGTGATTTAAAAGAGTAATAATTTTTATATAGAACAGAAAAAATATCCATTTTAAAACGGAATACCTCTCCCGTTATCTAATGTCATTCTTATCATAATTTACAAGAATTATTAATATCTCTCCTTTTAGCATTTATTTTTCTTATTAATACACATAATCGATATAATGAATATTTTAACTGACTTAATATATATATATATATGTATATATGTATATATATATATATATATATATATATATTTTGTAAATATATAGTTGTAATAATGTTTATAATATATTGAAAATATAATAATAAAAATTTAAGCAAAGAAATAGTAAGAGATACAAGAATATATTGATAAACAAAGATGCAAAACTCAATTTACTTCAAGACAGTTTAGGGAAACGAGGCCCAATCCCTAGGGACTGCTCGGGTAGAATCGTTTTTTTCGTCTGGAAACTTACCCCTGCAGTGCATCAAACACTCAGCGACATATACTTCCTTTGAATATAAATGTAAATATATAAAATATAACATCAAATATTACATGATTGGAAAACTTATGTGTGTATATAAATATATATATATATATATATATATATATATATATATATATATATATATATATATATATAATTATAATTTTAAAATATAACTTATAGCTATTATAAACAAAAATAATTGTATATAATATGAGTTTACTTAAATTTTATTTTTAAAAGAATTAAATACTTATTATAAATAATTGAATTATATTAAAAGAAATTATCTATACAATAATGTTGTATAGGTACTGTTCTTTTCAGTTTATATTTATAAATAGTTTGATTGAAAAATCTTACCATGTTTTCCCAAAAACCTGAAAAACATAAACAAATTTAATTATTCGATTAATTATTTCACACCTATGAAATTTGTCAATACAAAAATAATAATAATAAATTAAGAGGTCTTCATAAGAATATACATTTTTATTTGAAATTAATTGAAGATCAGTTAATATCCAACACATCAGAAAAAAATATGAATTATTTTTATGTCCCAATAGTTGTTTAAATAGACTCAGGAATAGATGAATCTTACAGTACTTGATTAATAATATTACGTGAAAATATACTTTTCTTTTGAATTTAGGTTCGATAACTAGAGCATAGGATGGTATAGAAATGAATAAAATAATATATATAAAGTATAATTGTTCGAATTTTTAATTAATTATTGATAAGATGATAGCGGTACTCACCGAGAGACATAGCGACAGTGAGCTCTGAACGCCGGCGTCTGGCAGAGTGAGGCGCAGCGGGCTCCGTCGCTTCACCCCCCCAGTGCCCCCCACCACCGCCTCTGATAAGCCCCCCTGTAATCATCGCCTCCATGGGGACTCTTCCCTTAAATAAAGTAACACCCATGAAGCAAAAATAAAAATAATATTTCCAGCAGGAGATATATCTGCTTAAGCATATTATTTCGTATAAAAAAATAACTTAAATTGTGGAAAACTTCAATCAATTTGATGAAATAAATTTATCATAGTATAAATTATCACATAGAGAAAAAAAATCATGTTCATTTAGCTATTAAATAATAAAAAAGTATTCCTGTTGTATATGGTCGGGCGTACCGGGGATCAATAGCAATTTCGGGAGAGGTCCAGGCTTTGAATTTAACAAGGATTTAAATTGTTTTGCTTAATCCTTCTACTTTTTTTCAAACTTTTAATATTCATCCGAACCAGTCAACGAACTGATTATTTGATTGAAATAATGAATTTTTATTGAAATAAAAAATTTCATTTTTTTTTTGTTTATTTAATGAAATTTACGATTGAATACAAATACAACTAGTAAATATGCACAAATTATTAATAATGACATGAACAGGCTTGAAGAGATACTACCCAGTGGTAACACTCTCTAAATAATTCTAGGTAAGAAGATCACGAGGGCATCTCCTTTTCAGACGCCTAGGAGCATTATCAGGAATCGAGGAAAAAGCAAGGGTGGAAACAAGGGAATTTACATTGGGATTGGAGTTTATCATGAATGGATAGATATCTGGCTTGGGCTAAATCAGCGACATATGGTACATTAAGATCTTTATGAATTAGTGTTATTTGTAACACTATAAAAGTATGGAGCATTAAGGATTTTACGGAGGATTTTGGATTGTTAGGATTAGATGCGATAGGAATTCGATGGTTTAGTGGAGCCCCAAAGCTCAACTCCGTATGTCCATATAGGGCTTATTATAGTTATGTAGATAAGTCTTTTATAATTAATTGAAAGTTTAGAGCGCGTGTCTAATAAGTGTTGGATCAGTCGGAAAGGTCGAGCAGTTTCTTGTCGTTTCAGTCTAGTATGAGGATTCCAAGTAAGATGTTTATCCAAGCGGAGTCCTAAGTAGCGGATTTTCTCAACAGGAATAAGTGGAGTATTATTCAAGGATACTGTAGGACAAGAAGTCATAGGTTTACGACGGAGGGTAAAGGTGATTTGATGGGATTTGTTGGAATTTAGTTTTATTCTCCACTTTTTTCACCATTCTTCGTATGTGATTGAAGAGTTTGGGATGCAATTAAAGGGTCACTATTAACAGATAGCAAACATGTGTCATCGGCGCTAGTCGTGATGACAGTGTCAGGATGGGTTGGGATGTCAGCTGTATAAACTGCATAGAGGATGGGACCGAGGATACTACCTTGTGGAACGCCTGCAGATTCAAATTTTAGTACTTTATTTTCTTGGTAGATTTTTTTTCATCGGTGGTTAACTAATGCATTTATAACTTCTTAGAATTTTCAATAAACGTTAGTAAGACTGTTGAATAACTGCACTTCCTAACCCACATCGGTTATTTTTGGATTTAATTTATTAAGATAAACTTCTCAAGCCTTTTTGTTTTATATCCACGGTTCTGATTTGTTTACAGAAGTCGAATTTGTACCATTTCGTGCTGCATATTAAGCTCTATTCATTCCTCTTCAATTAACTGCTTAGATTTTTCATTGGGATCGAGGGGTGGAGGAATGGTAGCACTTCTGTCAGGGCTGACTTGTCTCTGCTCCTCACTCATTCTCATGGAGATTGGAAGTTATCCTAAATATTATAAAATGGCTAAATTCATACATATTAGAGGCCTCCAAACTTTTTGGACCACGGGCCACATTGGCAAGTTCAGCAGACAGCATTGAAAACACTTAAGTCCCACAGGCCAAGGGTTGTGATGAAAAGAAATCTTGTTCTATCAATGACAATTAAGTAGTCAAATGAGCTTTCTAAGAGAAAAAAAAACAAAACATGCAATTAATGTTGTAAATCTCTTTTGTGAGTAATTTGATAAATTTTATATTTTTTAATAGTTTTAAACATTTGACCATGTAATCAAAGACATTTTCGCCGGTCAGATTGCAGTTGCTTACAGGCCGTAGTTTGGAGATTCCTGATATAGACAAAGAAATGGTCAGGTTTCATGACTCTTATAAAAGATAAGTCCTATAATTTAGGTTTCTTCGTCAGTATCGCACTTGCCATTTTATTTTCCAAGTTTAAACTTGTTTTGAAAGATTTTCCATAGACTTGGGGAAATATTTCCACATTTCTATTTAGAGAAGAGCGGAGCTAAAAGTTACCGGGGTAAGTTGTTCCGAGGGAGATAGCTCCAAAACGAAAAGAGATAAATACAACTCTTATAGTATAAATTAATTCGTGATGTCCTGTGGTTCTTATAATACAAATTATAATTTTAACTATAAGTTCCTAATTATTAAGAATAATTAGCTACATCTTCTGTTAATTGAAATAATGTATTACTTGAAGTAATTAAAAATGATTACTATCAAATGTTAAAACACCAAAGAAATCTTCTATCTTTTGTTTCATGATTTTTAAAATTATCAGACTTATTTGACTGAATACTCATAAGATATTGTTGATTAATCTTGAAATAAACGAGTATATATTCAAATATTTATTTTTTCACCCAGCATGGAGTACGTTGTTACTTTTTGTTTTCCTGTAAACTAAATTTCAAATACAGGCAGAACTAAAAATCTTTCAGATTTATAAAGAAGGATATGTATACAAATTATAAGCTAGCATAAATTTTGTTAATGATGGGAAATTTTAGCCCGGCTCTCATTTACATAAGCAGTATTGCTACCATCTACTCTTCTAAGCTACGTTTTCAATTGTACGGTAACAATAAGACTTTTTTTTTTGTTCTTATTAGTATAAATAGATTCAGAACGAAAAGATAAATTCTTCTAGGAAATTTGACGAATATAAAAGTGACAAATGAGAAGATTTCTTTCTCCTTGTATTTCTTTATATTTATATCTTACCCTTCAATTAAAAATAGTCAAATGGCTTTTAAAAATAATAGCGATGAAAATATTTAAAATAACATATCAAGGCTTATCTGTAAACCTATTTGTAGCTCTGCATGGTAGCATGCTAGCTACAGTACAAAGGGAAACGTACCCCTTTAAGCAGATTATCCTCCTTTTGGGAGTGCGTGCAGGTCTTCCGTCATCGCTTAATACGGCTTCCGTTACGGAGATGGAAATAGCAGTATATTCGATTAATTTATATATATATATATATATATATATATATATATATATATATATATATATATAAATAAAAGTTTATAATGTGTATATATTTATTTACTTATATAGGTAAATTTTTTAATATATTTGCATTTAAGTAGGACTCATATTTAATTTTTTGTATAAGTCATAGATAGAAGTGAACCAATTGAAATACATATAGCTAAGTGAAGTATATAGTCCAGTCAATGAATGCTCTAAAAGGGGGTACAGAAGGAAATTTACGCGGATACAATTTTTGACTTTGGGATATTGTTTGGACTAGTAAGGAGGTAAACATACTCCTTAGGAGGAGGAGCGCCTAAAAGTTCACTTTTTTCGGTTTTTTGCTTATATCAGAAAAAACTATCCTTCGCATCGACAAACACGTTCTATACAATAAAGCTGATAAAATTTGCAGTTTGATTGACTATGTATTTTTTTTCGCTACCTCGCTTAGTTTCCGAGATACTCGTCCTCAATTATGGCTGCTTATGAAAAAAAAAATAATTCCTCGTGTTTATAGCTATTCTTTTAGTTTCAGTTTACTAAATTAAAGCAGACAATATTTTTAATATGATTGATTATTTATCTTTTTTTCGCTACCTCGCTTAGTTTCCGAGATATCCGTCCTCAACTGTTTTTGTGAAAAAAAAGAGTTTACCTCATGTTTTTTTATGGTATTTAATTATCTAACTCTTGATTGCTACGATCTACGTTTAAGTCGTGGGAAAGAAAGTTTTTAATAATTAAATTTTCATCAGGAATATATATATTATTGTGCTGGTTTATCTCTAACGGTTCAAAAGTTAGATCAATTATAACTTTATATGTCGATTCCGAGAATTTATAGAATAAATTAATTTCTATAATATTCGTCATTATTATATTGATCTAACTTTTTCATATTTGTAATAGTTGAGGACGGATATCACGGGAAATAAGTAAGATAGCAATAAAAACTACATAGTCAATCATGTTGGAAATTTTATCAGCTATAATTCTGTAAAGAACGTCTATGTAGATTTAATGGATAGTTTTCCAGATATAACCCCAAAAAAGTTACCTTCCAGGAGCCCCCTCACATCATGCTCACCACCTAGGACTGAGCACATTTAATATGCTTACCTCCATACGAGTCCAGACAATGTATCAGGTCAAAAATTGGGCCTCTCACATTTCATTCTATAATCATTCATTGACAGGACTAATAATATATTATCTACACGTATCGTTGAGATAGAGGTAATAGTTATCAAAAGTGATTTTAGGAAGAATGAGGTTTCTTGTTATATATAATTTCACAGTTTTGTCAATACCTAAACTTATATTTGGTAAAAGAACAGATAATAAAAAAACTCATCTTCCCAAATGGTCAGTTGCTCACTTTTACTTCCAACCTGACGTATATCTTCAATTTTCTTAACCAGGTTGCCTATATAGATAATTATATATAATCCATTACATATAACAAAATTATTATGCTGTTGACTGAATAATAAGATTTTTTTTATAGTGAAAGTATGAAGATGGGATTTTGCGGTCCAGAAACGTTATTAATTAAAAAATAGCTAAAGATAATATATGTATACTAAAAAAATAAATGAAGCAAAACGTGAGTAATTTGCTTTGATAATTACACCTTATGAAAATTACACTTATGTGATTAATGTACCTGGCTTCCGATCTATGCTTAGGCATTGTTTTATTTGATAATCTTAAATGGAAGAAAAAAAATAAACTAATCATATTTTGTTAAAAAAATTAACTATTTAATTAAACATATGATTTATAATTGTGTTAAAAGACAGATAACAATTCCTCTGCTTTCATATTCGTCAACAAATGTTTTGAGGATGGGCCTTTTGACTGAAAGGTTTTAAATCCATACTTAAAAAAAAATAATATTCAATAAAATAAAGAGAGAAATGCTTATTCATTTCTTCGAAAAAATTAATTATAGCCTAAATAATAATTAATTAATCCCGTTAATCACCTATACCTATACATAATTATTTAAATATAATATCAGATCTAGAGTTATTAAACTACAGTAAATTTAAGGTTATAAACATATCCATGAAATATTTTTATATTTCACTTCTTCTTTCAAACAAGTACGATGAAATAGTTTTTCAAACAATGGCATTGCCTTGTCGGTGGATTTTAAATACTTTTTTCAAACTTAAAAATATTTTAAAAATTTACATTTAGTTAGTAAATTTCATTTAATTTCCTTGGAAACATATGATTTACATTAAATAATGTTCGTTTTTAAGATATTATTATTTATAATTTTTTCGCCTCTCTCCGTTACCTTCTACAGCTTTCTATATCAGATATGTTTTTTTTTTTCTAAAATCGTCCGCTTTCCAACGATATATTATACGTATACCTTCTGACTAGTATTCTCGGAGATTTATTCTGGGCCTGAATAAGCATTTTTTTTTTTCTCCGTTATTCAATTATCAAATTCTTTCAAAAATTATATTTAGCATTTTTTCGTAATTCTTAATAATGAGAGATACTTAATTTTTTAAATAACCCATACTAAAGGTACTTTAGAGGAAGACGCCCTGTAAAGTGACATAAATGGAGACCTAAATTATATTAAACACCATTTAATTATACAATGATACACCGAGGTTAATCAAAATCGTTAGAGCCGTTTTTGAGAAAATTGTAAAAATGTGTTTCACCGTTGATATAAAGTGGAACTTCCGGTTAGCAAAAAGTGACATATACCTATGTTAAATACATAATATCAGTTTCGTACGACTTTTCATTTTTTAGCTAAAGTGTTCACATACACACAGATCATTTTTCGTGACGTGGTTATTTGGATTCAGATGCCTCATAATGTGCATTTCCGTTGAAAACTCAGATTCGAAAATTTTCACGAATGTAATATTTTCTCTTAATATATGTTACAAATATAGGCAGTGAAAGTAAAAAGTTGAGAGTAATAAAGAAAAATAAAAAACTCTTTTTAAAAAAAATATAATAATATTCTATCGAGGAGAGGAATTTCAATCAAAATATAAAGCAAAGTTTAGCATCCCAGATATGTGATATTCGAAAAAGGCCACTAACGTTTTTTTTATAAGAAGTTCTTATTAAAATGACATATACCTAAATTTATTATAATATACTGTTTACTATTACAATTTATTGTAATTAGTTTTGGTAAAGGCACTTTATTTTTTAAGATTGCATAACTTAATATTTAAATGCATGTTTAGGTTTGCTATCATCTCAAAGAATATTTTTGGTTATTCACGAAAATAAATATATATAAGATTTGTTAAGAAAAATTATAGATAGCGATAGTGGACATTGAATGGTAATTTTACTATTTGAACATTTGATTTCTTTATCGTATAGTTTAACCCATATTTAAAAAATAAATGAATATTTTGTGGATTTAATTAAATAATTAAATCAAATTATCGCACTTATTGGATGTGATATGGACGAATATCCTATTATT